GAGAAGAGCCGAGAGCGGGACCCTACCCAGAGAAACAGAGATGCCTGAGATAGAGGCAGAGATGATGACGTGGAGTGAGGAAGCGACTGGGGACCTTGGACCCAGAGTGGGAAAGGGACTGTGGGCTGAAAACAGAGGGGGGAGGGAGGGGTATTTAGGATATACCCTTTGGTTGGTGGATGATGCATGGAGGAGATTGGAACCATGGCAATGAGATGATACACGATGAAATGAATGTTAAACTAAAGTTCTCTCATGTAAACTATCATATAATTCACAATAAAACAAAACAAAACAAAAAAGATAATGGAGTTTCCCCATGAACTTTTTATAGCACCTTAGCACTTGTCCTAACATAAGCATATATAAAACATTTCCACCAAAACGTTTCTTATATCTTGTATTTTAAGGATGGTATATAAGCATCTTCCTTAAAATACAAGCTGTAGAATAAATAGAAAAAAGAACATTCAACCTCACTAGCACAATAATGAAAATTAAGAAAGATGGTTTTACACCCATTAAATTAACAAAGGCCTTCGAATTATAATAATCTTAGGATTGTGAGGTGAAAGATGAGTATTCTCATCCTCAGTATGGTTAATATAATGCTTCTGAAAAACATTTTGGCAGTATCAATTATCAAGAGTCTTAAAAATGCCTCTGCTAGTTCCAATCTTACATATCTTTATCAGAGTTACTCTCATAGTATCAAAAAAAAAAAAAAAAAAAAAAGAAGAAGAAGAAGAAGAAAGAAAAGGAAACACCCTTGAATATCCATCAAGATGAGAGGTAAGTAAATTATAGTGCATCCATAAAAGTAGAGTACAGGCAGCTATAAAAAGACATGACATATAATACAACATGAGGGAAAAATCAGAATGTACAAGTATTTAAGCTTCATGGGTCCAATTATGTTTTTTTAAAAAAGGAAGATAAAAACGTGCAAGAAAAAGACAGAGAGTAAAACACGACACTTGCTAAAATACGCCAATAGTTAATTTCTAGGTTGTTGGATTAGAGGATTTTTGTCTTTTCTTCATAGCTTCCTGCAATTGTATAAGGTGTTCTAAAGTATTACTATTTTAAGCCAGACACCCCTCCCCCACTAAAAGGCTATATTTTAAAATGTAGCTGACAGTGAACAAAAGGAACTAAATCAACCGTACTACTCACTTCTGGTTCATTCCAAGAATAATAATGTCACTAATGATAAACAAACAAACAAAAATCCTCACAACTGGACCACTAAATAACATCATGATAAATGGAAAAAAGATTGAAGCTGTCAAAGACTTCATTTTGCTTAGACACATTACCAACACTCACGGAAACAACAGACAAATCAAATGACATATTGCACTAGGCAGATAGGCTGCACAAGATTTCATTAAAGTGTTCAAAGGCAAAGATGTCAATTTGAGGACTAAGGTGTGCCTGACCCAAGTCAAGGTATTTCCAATAGCCTCATTTGAAAGTTGGACAGTGAATAAGGAACACTGTAGAAGAACAGATGCATTTGACTTATGGTATTGGAAAAGAATATTAAAAGTACCATGGACTGCCAGAAGAACAAACAAATGCATCTTGGAAAAAGTACAGCCACAGTGCACATTAGAAGTCAGGATGATGAGATGTCATCTCTCATACTTTGGACATATTATCAAGAGGGACCAGTCCCTGGAGAAGGACATCATGCTTGGAAAACTGGAGGGTCAGCGAAAATGAAGAAGACCCGCAATGAGATGGATTGGCATAGTAGCAGCAGCAATGGGCTCTAGTTTAATGATTGTGAGGATGGCGGCACAAAACCGGGCAGAGTTTCATTCTGTTGAGCATAAGGTTGCTATGAGTCGGAAGTGACTCAATGGCACCTAACAACAATAACAACAATGCTATATGTGACAAGAGCCCTTAAAATATATACTCAGTCATATATAATATATATAATTAGTTACCTCCTTTCCATATGCACATATCACTGTAGATATACATAGTTTAAACTTCTGAGTAAAAGAAAGATTCATGAATTAAATGAGACAAATCCACTACAAAATTTAGCTTCCACTTTTCTAAATGTTACAGAATAAATTAATTCAGTATTATTTAGCCCTTCATTTATGTATTTGCAGGCCTTTAATAACTATTTCAATGTGTTCTGTGAAGATTAAGAATAAATCTTATATTTCAAAAGTTTAAAAGTTAGGACAACTGTTATCTCAGGACTTTGCTTATTTAGTGAGTTTTCTGTATCACAATGGTATGGAAATATGGTTAAGGACTCCTGGTGTGGCGCTATAGAATGTATATTATCTGGCTGTGACAATTCTATACTGTTGATGCTAAATCTGATACAGTGCAACATTTACATTTGTCTTAAGAAGTTTGCTCACATAATTATTATAGCAAAATATGATCACAGAACACAATTCTTATGTGACTTCTTCCTTAGAGTGTTTAGAATCACAGTAAGGATGACAAAAAAATTATCAAACTGGGGCTTTCAGAAATAGAGAGGCTCAAATTGGGAAAATAAAGAGAGTGGCATCGTAGTGTTGAAAAGCATGATGTTAATTCTTCACACTAATATAAGTCATGGCTGTTTATAAAATAGTATGTGCAAACATTGAGAAGCATAAAATAATGTATGAGTTACAAATACTGTAATTATTAGAATTCCAGTGTTTATCCTTAAAAGGCAAAATAAACAAAGACCAACCAGTTTCTTATGAAATAAAAGTGAACTTAAGTAAAATATTAAGTATGTAAAATGTGGGGGACAATATACTTCAAGGACTACATAATCTTATTTAAAACAATAACATTCTTTTAAATACAACTCTTGTTAAATGAGGTATTCTATTGACACTTCCCGGAAATAACCATTTTGTCACTAAAACATAAACAAGAAATAGAAACCAATACTTACTCACAATACCAAACTGGCCCCAGGACAGAAGTATAGCCAAAATTGGGAAAATAACGATGAGAATATTTTCTTTTGGAGAAAACCATGAAACTGGAGAGAAAGAAAACAAAAAACCACAATTAATATTTACTACAATAACTTTAAACCGTGCCAATGCATGCTCAATAAGGAGCCTGGTGCCAATGGTCAAGCTCTAGGCTACTAACAGAAAGGTTGGCAGTTTGAGCCCAGCATCTGCTTTGCAGGAGAAAAGACTTGGTGATCTGCTCCCATATAGATTAGTTGTTGTTGTTGCTAAGTGCTGTTGAGTCGGTTACCATTCATAGCGACTCTGTATGTAGTATCTGAGGGGCAGCTAGTGGGTTTGAAGTTCAGTGGAAATCCTATGGAGCGTTCAGCAGAATCATCACGTGTAGGAATCAACTTGATGACACACACAACAATGAATATTCAATACTATATAGGAAAAAAATGACACCATCCTTTCCACAATTAACTCTTAGCAATCACAGCTGAAGCATATCATTCCTTATCAACATTTTCTTCCAAACTTTATTACCCACACCCATCAGGAAAAAGTTGTTTGGTAGGAGTTATAAGGGCTGTAGGTAGACAAGCCTATGAAATATCACTGTATTGTATTTACTGTGGAGACTGAAAATAAAAATAATTAAAGCGGTCTTAAATAGTATCATTTATATACATAACTTACTTAACAAAATTTATTTTTTGAAACAAAATGCTAGTTACATTTTCCCTAATCTGTGTCTTCGTGCTATATGATGAGCACTGAAATGCTAACTGCAAGGTAGGTGGTTCAAACCCACCAGCTGTTCCTTGGGAATCCTATACAGAGGCACTAAGAGTCAGAGCAACTTGATGGCTCTTAATAGCAACAGCGTCTATACTGGCTGGGGATAGTATGACATGGTAAACTGAGAACAGAGCAGTATGGCCACACTGCCAGGGTTTGAAACTCAACTTTAACAAACAATGTGATCTTGGATAATGTCTTTAACATCGTTCTGTTCTTCAGAACACTTTTCCTATTCTTCAGAAGAGTATAGAACAATTGCTACTTGGGTATAACATGATACCAACACCTTAAAATGTAGTTCTGGTGTAGCTCTATAGGATAAGCACTGGACTTCTAACTGCAAGACTGGCAGTTCAAACCAACTAGCTGCTTCTCAGAAACCCTACACAGGGTCACTATGAGTTGGAACTGACTGGATTTCACTTAACATGATACCCTAAAAGACAGCTGTGGTGATTGTAGTTGTTAGCTGCTGTCAAGTTGGTTCCAATTCATAGAAACCGTATGCAGAGCAGAATGAAAAACTGTCCGGTCCTGGGCCATCCTCACAGCTGTTGTCATGTTTGAGTTTGTTGTTCTTACCACTGTGTTGTTGGAGAACTTTCTATCTTGTTGGAGAACTTTCTCTTTTATTATTGACCCTCTACTTCACAAAGCATGATGTCCTTCTCCAAGGACTGGTTCCTCCGGATAATGTATACAAATGATGACAAAGTCTTGCCATCTTAATTTCTAAGGACCATTCTAGCTACAATTCTTTCAACATAGAGCTTGTTCTTCTAGTAGTCTGTGGTATTTTCTAAATTCTTTTCCAACACTGTAATTCAAATCCATCGGTTCTTCTACGATCTTCCTTATTCACTGTCCAACTTTTACATGCATATGTTGTTGTGGTTAAGCGCTGTCAAAAAGGTTCTGTCTCACAGGACCTTGTATACGGTTTCCAAGGAATGCATACATATTATGAGGTGAGTGAAAATACCATGGCTTGGATCTGGCACACCTGAGACCTCAAACTGATATCTTTGCTTTTAAATCACTTTAAAGGGGTCTTTTACAACAGATTGGTCCAATACAATACACTGTTTGATTTTTTTGTCTGCTGTTTCCATGAGCATTGATTGTGAATCCAAGAAAAATGAAGTATCTGACAATGTCAATCTTTTCTTCACTTATCAAGATGTTATTTATTGGCCCAGTGGTGAGTATTTTTGTTTTCTTTACATTGAGGAGCAATCCATACTGAAGGTTGTGGTCTTTGATCTTCATCAGTAAGTATTTCAAGTCCTCTGTACTTCCAGCAAGCAAGGCTGTGTCATCTGCATGTCTCAGGTTGTTAATGAGTCTTTCTTTCATCCTGATGCCACATTCTTCTTCATACAACCCAGGTTCTCAGATTATTTGCTCAGCATACTGACAAAATAAGTATGGTATATACAACCATGATGCATACCTTTCCTGATTTTAAACTATTCAATATCCTTGTTCTGTTCAAACTGCTCTTGGTCTATATACAGGTTCCTCTTGAATACCCATTCTTCGAAATGTTATCCATAGTTTGTTATGATCCGCAAAGTCAAATGCCTTTTTATAGTCAACACAGCACAGGCAAACATCTTTCTGGTATCCTCAGGGTTTAGCCAAGATTTATATGACATCAGCAATGATAACCTTAACTCCATGTCCACTTCTGAATCTGGCTTGAATTTTTGGCAGCTCCCAGCTGAATTACTGCTGCAACCATTTTTGAATTAATTTTAGCAAAATTTTACTTGCATGTGATATTAATGCTATTGCTGGATTATTTCCATATTCCGTTGGGTCATTTTTCTTTGGAATAGATACATATAAGGATGTTTTTTAATCAACTGGGCAGGTCGCTGTTTTCCAAATTTCTTGACATAGGCAAGTGAGCACCTCCAGCACTGCATCAATTTGTTGGGACATTTCAATTTATATTCCATCGATTCCTGGAGCTTTGTTTATCACCAATGCCTTCAGTGTAGCATGGGCTTCTTCCTCAAGACCATCGGTTCTTGATTATATCGTACCTCTTGATCGTTGAAAAGTGACCAATTAATTTTTGATACAGTGACTCTGTGTACTCCCTTTATCTTTTTTTGATGCATTGTGAATAATTCAGTATTTCACCTATAGAATCCTTTAATATATGCAAAGGGCTAAAAACAACACCTTGGGAAAAAGACCAAGATGGCAGCTTAGTCTGACATGTCATGCCATCCTTCTATTATTGTTGTCGTTGCTGTTATGTGCCGTGGAGTCGGTTCCAACTCACAGCAACCTGGTACAGGGTTTCCAAGGCTGTAAATCTTTACGGGGGCAGAAAGCCTCATCTTTCTCCCACAGAACTGCTGGTAGTTTTGAACTGCTGACCTTGCAGTTTGCAGCCTGATTCGTAACCACTACGCTACCAGAGCTCCTTATCCTTCTATTAGACATCCTAAATCAAATGAAACAGATACAGATGACAATTTTGGAACCCTGAACATCAAATAGCAATAGAAAAACATGAATGAAGAGATATGGACTGGAGAAACTCTGCTAGTATCTCCAGACAATATAACCATGTGACACAGAGCCAGCAGTGATCCCAGGTGAGGAGAACAAGAAGACAAGTTAACAGAATTTCCAACAGGGGACAGAGATATTATGTAGGCTACTCAGAGTGAAGTAATGTGAGTGGGACATGATCTAAGTCAATGAAGGGAAAGTACAGAAAGGAAGGAGAAAGTACCAGGGATATTAGTATACATGGCACAGGGAAGAATTCAAAAGCCAGAGACAGGCTGGGTGGCAATGTGGTGAACACAGAGTAACAGACCCAGGCTGTCAGTAGGAGGTCCCCAAGCTGCAGAGAAAAAGGAGAGTGTTCTCACACTCCTAGTCACCCTCCCTGACCCCCGTATGAGCCCACTTTGACAGACTAAGAGGTGTTGCGTGTAACTGTGCTCCAGTCACCAACCCTGACCCTTGACTAAATCTGCCCCAACCTACACAGTGGTAGGGGCGTATTCACTGACCCCTGGCCACCAGATCTGACCATAGAAGCAATCATCCACCCTACTATAAAAAACAACAGAAAGCAAACATACAATCAATCATCAATAAAACAACAATTAAATGCCTTAAAGACAGCAGACAACATCAAATCATATAAAGAAACAGAACAAGATGGCTCAAGTGAATGAACAAATTAAAAAGCAGAAAACCTCCCAGAGGAAGAAATGGTACAGTAACTCCCTGATAAGGAATTTGAAAGACTTACATATAGTATCCCCACATGTCTGTCAGTCTGTCATACTGTTGCTGTGTTGCTGAGTGCTATGCTATTGGTATTTCTAACAACAGCAGAGTTCACCATAGTAAACAGGTCCCAGACTCAGAACAGAATAGAAAGAAGGAATGAGTGGTCCACTTCTGAAGGATTAGTCCCTGAAAGCCTAACAAAGAGCAGCAAAACACTGTCTGCTATAGTGCTGGAAGATGAGCCCCTTATGTGGAAGGCACTCAAAATACAACTAAGGAAGAGCTGAAACTGCCCACTCAAAGTAGAGACAACTTTAATGCCATGAATGGAGCAAAGCTTTTAGTACTTTCGTTTGCATAAGGGAAACCCCTAGAAGAATTCAAGAGAATAATACAAGTATACAATAGCAAAATAAATAATTAGAGATCATATGAAAACAACAACTAGAAATATAAAAGATTAACAAGAAAATAGATATAGAAATAGATAATGAAAGGACAAAGAAGTAGAATTGAATCAATGGGAAAAAAGAAGCACCAAATACAGGACAAAACCCTGGATACTAACCTGTTTGTAGAACAATCAGAAAAGAGAATAAAGAAAACCTAAGAGTTATGTGGGCCATATCAAGATGACTAACTTTCGTGTGATTGGAATCCCAAAACAATAAGAGACTTAGAAAAAAAGCAAAGAGAGAATTACTGAAGATTTTGTGGCAGAAAACTAAACTTCTAATATCATGAATATGAGAAGGCTTCTACCCAAGAAATTTAAACAACCCTACACAGTATAGACCCCAAAGAAAGCTATCAAGTTGTAATTAAACTTTCCAAAAGCAAATGCAAAGCAATATTTTGGGATTAAAAAAAAAAAAAATCACATCCAAAGGAGTACCAATAAGACTACACTTCAGTTTCTTGGCAGAAACTATGTAGGCAAGAAGGCAAAGGAATGACGTATATAAGATCAAGAAGGAAAACAATTGCCAACCAAGAATCATATATG